AACAAAAACATTGGTGTCTACTGTGTGTTTGTATGTGTGTGTGTGTGTGTGTGTGTGTGTGTGTGTGTTACCAACACAAGACACTTTTCCAGCAAATTTCCCCAGGAGAATCTTGTATTCATAGTCAGCATCCCCTCTTAATAGTGTAGACTGTAACACCTTGGGCTGTGCAATGCACACCTGTTGGCTGAACTGGGGACTCTATTCAGTGTAATCACTACATAGGAAAGATAGATGTTTTGGCATTTGTTGTTTATCTTATACATAGGTAGATAAGTAAGCAGATGCTAGGTAGGTAAGTAGAGACTGCTGCATGTAGTAAGTTGCAAAATTTTAAATTATTTTTCTATTTGTATGAAATATTAAAATCTTACATATGCTAATTAGAATATTATAATAGTTTTATTGTGAATTACATCAGACTGAGAAGGCATTTTCTCACTATGTCTAAGTCTAGATACATGTCTAACATTCAGAATATTTGTTCTTTGAGGAGATATAGTTTAGAAAGCAAAACAACATGTGGTCACTGAAAGAAAGTTATTTTGACTCTGTAGAATGAATTCCCCGGATTATATCACTCATTTGGAAATAGTTACAAAATTGAATTAGACATTAAGAATGAGTTAAAATTAAGCCATAGTTTTTTTTTTTTAATTTAGACACTGTTCTAGTTACATCTCATCTTTCAAGAGTTATAAAAATAACACTACTACCAACCTAAGATAGCACTGAAATCTTGATAAAAATTTAAAGGCCTTGCAGTCTGTTCTCTGTTGCTATAATAGAGTAACTGGGAGTAGGTAATTTATAAAGAACAAAAGTATATTTAACTCACCGTTCTGGATGCTGGGAAGTTCAAGAGCATGACATCAGCATCTGCTGAGGGGCTATGTACTACATTATCCTGTGGCAAAAGGACAAAAGACAAGGGAGGATGAGACTAAAGTAACAAGAGGGAGCCAAAATTGATTTTAGAAACCCACTCTGAAGAAGACTTACCCACTTTTGTGATAAGTGCACCAATTGATTCAAGTCCTTGTGAACTAATTGCATTACATCAAGTACCACCTCCCTTCACTGCTCAATGGGGATGATGTTTCCAACATATGAACCTGGGGGACATATTCCACAGCTGCACTCCTCTATTCCACACTCTCATGCTTGTATGCTGAGTAATGAGTAGGACTCACCTAGCTTGCTTCCCACCTCTGAGGTTCATATTCGTCAGTGTCTATTGTCTAGACTAGTGAAACAAAATTCTCACATTTTGTTTTTTCTTTGTTCAGAGAGATGTATGAATGAATTCATTTTTTAAGTCAGAAGTATAAATATCAAATATAATTCTGCATTTCCCAATTTATAGTGAAATTATAAACATAGGATTGCTAAGTGAAAAGAGTGTCTAACCTTAGTGAATTAAACCTTTGTGGGATAAG